AGTTAGGGGAAAAGGAGCCCGGGCTGATTAGGCCCTTGAAACCCAGGGGGAGGGGGGGGGGGGGGGGGCGGGATCGATCGAAAAACTCTCGGGATTGGCAAACACAACGTCGCGATGGCAGAAAAACGCCACCTCGGAATGATCGGGGTGTTGACGATCGGCCAGCGTGGCTACGGTTTTGTATGATTTGGTCTTGATAACGTACCCAACGAAAGCAACCCGCAGGTTGATGTTGGCGACGTCCTCTTTTGCCTGGTCGATTATGTCCAGCAACCTAGTCCTGGCCTGGTCGATCCACCGTTGCATCTGAGAAGCAGAACCACCATGGAGAACAACGTGGCACATCAGGTGAAGGCAGCAACAAAACTCGGTGTTGGAGTGTATTGAGTTCGACGTGCGTGGTGTGATTGGTGTTTTGTTGTTATTGTTGTAGTGACCATGTCACTCAGATTCGAATAACTTACGTACGAACGGATCGTTAGCTTCGTCTTATCCTCCAGCGGAACACCAGAGCTGAATCCTCGAGGAAGGGGCACCCGCCAAAATCCAAGACGTGCCGTCAGCAATAAAAATGTATCTACCGGTACTCCTCAACGGCGAGCACAATTAACCGCTTTGGACGCTCGGCGACTTCTTGCTTTCCGTCTTTTTCCCCGTCGACTTTTGAAAACCGAAAGCAGTGCACGCCGAAGAAATTCGGCAGCCCTCTCACCGATCCTGTGCAGTCCATCACGAAGCATAAATCTACGTCGGTCTTCCTAGTAGAATCATTCCGCGCCGCTGCCATTCTCGTTTCGACCCGGTTAACCCTGTCCAGACCGTGGTCGATCGCCGAAGTCAAGCACTCGGGGTCCTTGCCCGCTCCAGGATGCAAACTCAACGCTACCAGCAGCTCGGAGGAGAAAAGGCGGCCGTAGTTGCCGTCAGAGGCCAGACCGCGGAGCCCCAAGAGCGATGCCCTGGCAACGCTGGGGTCGATTATGTCTCCCGTCCCTATCAAGGCTTGCGTGTAGTGATCGATTGCCTCCTCGTGGTAGTCGTTTGCTACACTGAGGGCGGCGCGCGCTTCCAAAAGCCTCTGGCGGAGGATGTGCACTGGTGTTTCCAGCGGCGTAGTCATCGCCGCCCCCGGCCCCGCGTCGACGTATTGCCTCTCGTAGGGCGCGATCACCAGCTCGGCTGCATCCAGTGCTTCCCCTGCTTCCTGAGATCTACCTTGCCCTCGCTCCAGGACGGACAATTGGAGGAGGTATCCAAATCGCTGTAGGTCGTTCTTCGTGTCGCCATTGTTGCGGTTTCCTCCGCTATTTTGGCCGGCGGAGGTTAGCTGGAGGCACTCCTGCAACAGATTCCTGGCCTCGTGGATGATTTCCAGGTCTGGCTTCCCTCCCGTTGCAACGGCGCTATTGCCCCTGGCTTCGGTGCACCGGGCGAGGTTAGACTTGCGGCTAGCGAGCTGCCGGTCAAGAGCGGCGTGTGACGTGTTGTCGTCATCGTCGTCGTTTGTGTCGACATCCGCGAGTGCAGCATTTGCAGCCTCAACGTCTTCATCAAACTTGGTCTCGCCGACACCGTCATGACCACCGTGGTGGGCGCTCGGGTGCTGAGGTAAAGCACCATTCGGTTGGTAATTGGTGGCTGCGCAGAGCATCTCGGCGTCGTCGATGGCGAGCTTGAAGTTGATGGCGGCGTCGATAAAAATCAGCAGCGCCGCTTCCATGAGGGCCTTGGCTTGGGTCGGATTTCGTGCATCCCTTGCCTGCGCCACGAGCTCTCCGGCCTCCATCGCGCAAACGTTGCCGAGGTTGTTCCGCACGATGCCGATTCCGCGGTCGTTTCCTAGCTTTGTGAAGAGTTCTAGGGCGTCCATGTAGATGGACTTCGCCACGGCTATGTTACCTGTGGCCAGGGTTGTGTTGGCGAACTTTACTGCCGTATTCATGGACTCGAAGGCTTCCACCAAGTCGTCAACCTCGGGGGGGAGCATGTCGTTGGAGGGCATGTCGTGGACGATCCGAGTCCCTGGCGGCTGTGCCACGCATGCGCACGCACACATGCGAATTGTTTTTTACGAGAAGTGACAGCGTCATCAAATGACATGGACATGCCGCTTGTGCAGCAGCGCCTGTGAAGGATTTGGTGAATGATTTGGGCACATACTTCGTGGAACAGCTTTTCCATCACTGGGAGTGTAGAACCGACTCATGCGCGTACTTGGCGGAATGAGCGCATCTCACCGGCGGATACATGTGGTAGGAGAGTGCGCGCATGCGCAAAAACACGCTTGGTGGAGATAATACAACAGGGCTTCTCGGCCTGCCGCCACCGGGGTTCTCTTGGCAACATCATGTGTTTCTCCAGGTCAAAGCTTAGACGTCGAGTAGCTCTGCGCTCCTCAACTGATACCGTACATCCTGCTTGTTGGTGAGCACGCTTGAGAGTACGACTCGCTGCCACCTTTGCGAGATGCATGTGGCACGCGCCCAAGTATAACATTCATGACTCTGGATCAGAGCCCTTTAGCAGAGAAGGTCTTGACCGTGAACGTACGAACAGCAGTGAATGGAGTTCTAGACACGATGTTCTAGGAAAATTGGGACAGCGCGCGTCAGGCTTTTCGCCGACCAGCTACAAAGTGGTGGTGGGGCACCTGGCGGAGCGAGAATAATCATACCTGCCGCGAAAAATCCATCCTGTTGAGTGCGAACACGGCACCGATGAGTTGGTTGATCGGACCCTCGATCCCGCCAGCCACGAATCGAGCAGTGACACTCGTGATGCAGGCGATTGCTACCAGCACCAGGACCATGATGAAGCTCGCGAAGAGAACCACCCGGTAAATCTGTGATTTCGTCTCGGAGAAGGCCTAGATCACGTGCGTGCCGGTACGCCACGCGAAAGGGAAAGTAGCGGAAGAAAGGGAACGGAAGGGAAGGAAAAATATGGGTTCAACAGGTAGAGCCACGGCCAGCAATACTGTTCTGAACCAAGACAAGCGCGCTCTTTCCATCGCGTAGTTCGTCCTCGCGGGCTCCAGAGAAACTGCATCTCGATCAAGGCTGGTCTCAGCAAATATCCCGAAACTGAACCGCTAGGACACGTACAGTATTCGAAACACGGCCCTACCGCCCTCGGCAGCCGATCCTCCTCCTGCGTTCTCCTACACAGCCACTCCCTCCCTGAACCACCGTACCTCCAACAGAACCGATTCGCTGACCGTCACCACGGCGATGAAGCCACCGTCGCCGCAGCTGTCGCTGGCAGTAGACGCGCCGGCGCCGCTCACGGTCTCGTGCTTCCAGGCCAGGATCCACGCACTCCCGTCCCTCGAGTACTCGGCGGAGCCGGAGCAGGTGGCGGAGATCTCGGTGACAAGATCAAGAAACTGCGATTCCTCCTCGCCGTTTTCGTCGGCGCCGTCTCCGAACTCCAAGTCCAGGATGTAGTTCACGCCGCCGTAGTCCAACAAGTCCCTGTGAACGGCCACCTGCCCGTCCCCGCCCGGGGCCAGCAGGTAGGCATAACCGTCGTCGTTGATGACATTGAGGTCCTTGATGGAGCTCTCGATGTTTGTCGTGTTGATGTCCAACCCAACCACTCCGGCCACGGTGCCGGCCAAGTTGAAGACCGGCGCTGCGGCAGACATGGTGAGCTTCTCCGAGTCGGCGTCCTCGTAAGGGTTGGTGAAGATGACCCCGGTGTTGCCGTTCTCGATGGCGTCTTGGTACCACAGTCTGCATCGCGGCTCGTACGAGTCCCCGGTGTAGGTGGTTTCATCCCAACTGTCGCATACCTGTTTGGGGTGAAATAGTTTTTTTTTTTTTCCGAACCCGTTCGTGCCAACGTGCGAGGAAACGAGGAGCGCGTGCAAGAGTTGTCATGAATGATCATGTTGCAGCCCTGGTGTCGTCGAAGCCCAGAGCATTCGTGTGAATACCCGTTAGTGTTTCGAGATGAGTCTTCCAACACAAATTCGGTACGAAGGGATTCCACCGATAGGCGTGGTACTGGTTAGTCGTTGTGCCCTGCATGCTTACCCCAACCAAGCCCCATTCCAGGTAACCAGTCATATCGAACCCGGCGTAAGCCTGGAAGTTGATATCCGAGATCGTGCCAGCGGCGGGGGATGGATCGTCCAAGGCTGCGAGGTACACAAGGGGGTGCTGCCGCTGCATCCCCCGAAAGGGAACGTCCATGAGCGACGAGCGGTTGAGCAGGCTTTCCAGGGACCCTCCGGCCTCCGGCACCTCACCCGTAGCGAATTCCGGGATGAACCTGAAACGAGCAGTTGGCAGCGGCATCTATCTTACCCACCTCAAATTTCTGTTTTTGTTAGACTTGTTTGAGCCATGTCTACTGACAAGCACACACTTTGCACACCCACACATCCTTTCGCGATCGCTTCGGACACATTGCGCCCGAAATATTACAAGAGAACGCCTGCGGCATTCCACACGCACAAGCACAAGCGGGTCTTCCTTGCTCTGCTTGGACAAGTCGAGAGCAGAAAATGAAAGGGGGGCGGGGGGCGGATCGCCCTGCAAAAATGTCGAAGTTAAGATACGCAAGAAAATCGGAACGCTATGTGCGCGATGATGCTCCAAGGTATGAGATTTTATGGAGCACACATGCACGGTTCTCTAAGGACGTTGAGTAGCGAGCATCACGCGTTTTACTCTGGGCATGTTGAGCTTTACACGTAAGGACAAATACTCCGGCTGCCAGGGCCTTGGAGGCAACTTTGCCCTCTCAAGAAGCATTGTACTAAAAGTCTCCGGGTAGAGTGTACTTGCCAAACACTATTATCGAAGGTTGTGTCAGATTGAAGAAGTCCCGAATAGCTGGTCAAGTAGGAGTTGACCGTCATCGTCTCTGGAACGGCCAAAATAGCCTGCCCCGCAAACACTTGCAGCTGCAGAATGCTCTCCTCAACCCTTCCGAATTGCTCTGACACAAACTCGGCTTTCGCTTCCGCAAGCTTGAGCAGGTTCGCCTGATTCCATGAGAGAAGAGGAAGCAAAGAGAGAAAAGAGACGGAGATAAGAGAGACAGAAACAGAGAGAGAGGTCAACTCAACATATGTCGGCGAGACAAAGACAGCCTTCTTCACCGTCTAGACACCCTCTATGCTGATCCCAGCGTGTTGTGTGAGAATCGATTGCCGACCGCCGGAGAGCAGGCCAAGCAAAGACACCATATACTATAAGCAGCACGCACCTCCTCGAGCTCAACCATCGCCTTCCTTGTGTCGCCCCCCCAATCATCAATGGCCGTGAGGGTCAGCACAACCTGAATGAGGAGGATGATCACGGTGCCCGCCACGACTGGAGAGAAACGGGGAAAGGGTGAGAGACAGTGGATGGGGGGGGAGAGGCCGTCGAAGCAAAGACCGAAGAGGCAAGTATTGAGTCGTGCTTGCCCCCGTTGTCCGTTCTAACCACCAGACTAGAATAGTATGGTACCAAGGGCAGGGCACGCGGAACCTGTCCGTGTAGAGAAAGTCGGATATAAGAGAGTGATTTCGGCTTGTGACACCCTTTCTTCGAACTGTAGTAGTGATTGTAGTCCCTCGTCAAAAATGCGCTGTTGTTGTTGTGTTAGCTACGGATTCTTTCTTGTGGTGGGAGGGCAAAGCACACAAGCTGCTGCGTACCGTCTCTCACGCCTAGTGTGAGCGCGGTCGTGGCGGAGTGAGCGTGCAGAGGTAGGGGTGAAACCGTCTGAGGCACACAAAACCGAGGTCAAATCCAAGCGTGTTCGTCTAAGTCATCCCGCACACCTAGGTACCCCTGTCCCCCGCACCGCCCCGGAGGCCCGGAAAAATGTTTTTGTATTATTTGCTCTTGGGGTTTGAAGCCCACTTTCACGCAAGCTGCACATGGGGGACATCTTGTGGACAATGTGCAACCTTGTGGGACCCCCTTCGCAATGTTGAAAGATTGAGAGGAGGGGGGGGGGGGGTCAGGGTATCCAATGCGCGAGCTAGAATTCTTTCTTGTGAACCCCCAAGCCAAGAGCACACAAAACGGGTACGGAGCTCAATTACGCGTGAAACGTCGGTCACTGGTGTTCATCAACGATCTGTTGAAAGTCATAGAGGCAGTTGGGAAGGGGGTAAAGGTAGGGGAAACTTGGGTGTCGGGAATGCTGTTTGCAGATGATTTTTTTGGGATGTCCGACATCCTTGAGGGACTTGAACTGCTGACTGCCGCAGCTAAGGATAATACTGATAAGTGGAGATTGTCTGCCAACGTTAAGAAGAGTGCCGTCAAGGTATGCAACGAGGACAGGGAGAAGTCGAGTATAGATGGAAGTGGGGGGTCGAGGAGCTTGCAGTAGTGGATCAGTACACATATCTCGGAGTAGAGATGGCAAATGACTGCTCGTGGAATGCACACATGTCCAAGGTAGCGGAAAGGGGCAAAGCACGAGCAGGGAAGCTGCACCCAATTCTCGCAAACCGGCACCTCGATAAACGCATCAAACTGATGGTTTTGAGGAGCATAATGGTACCGCCGCTAGAGTACGCCAGAGAAGTATGGGAAGGAAATATGAAGGCCGTCAAAGAGCTCGAGGCGGTACAGATGAAAGAAGCGAAAATCATTCTAGGATGCTCCAAGCGCACAAGCAATGCAGCCGTTAGGGCAGAACCGGGGTCCGATCCCTACGATCGGGAAGAGACGCAAGAAGCTGACATGGCAGTACGCATGTGCGGTATGGGAGAGGAGAGGTGAAGTGGGCAAGCAAGAAGAGGGGTAGACAACCCATGGAGTGGGTGAAGGTTGTAGATGCCGTATGGGAGGGGTTCGAAATTGACGAAGGTGGTACGCTGGACACGGAAGTTCTAGAGGGGTTCAAGGAGAATTAGATCTGCTGCTTTTGCCGAGAGAGAAGAACAGACCCTACTAATCAAAGAACCAACGATGAGGAGGGTCTAGAAGTGTACGGAATGCCGAAAGAAGGAATAGGGTTCAAGGATTACCTACTACATGGACTGTTACGGGGTTAGGTCGGACCTCGGACCGTAGCGGGCCGGGTGGTAGTGAAGCCCGGGTTGGGTTGGGTTGGTTGGTCCGGACGATGGGGATTGGCGGGTGGGTTCGTTTGGGTTGGGTTGGGTCGTTTGGGCGGCGTTGAGCCTCCTCCTTCGTCGATCGCGCCGCACGCAGTCTTTCCGTCGTCGTCACCGCCGGATGTTTGGGGTACTTGGATACAAGATCCGATCTGCAGATCATATGTGTGTGGGGGGTATGATGTTGGGGGTCCAAGTGCGGGGCCCCTCGTGAGAGCCCGCGCATGTGTGTTTACTGTATCTGCAAGAGATACTGTGTATATTGTGCTGGAAGGAGCACTGTGTGTGATAATCAAGGTTCTACTCATCTGCATCGGTCCCTGGGTAAACATATAGTCCCCAGATCAACTCTTATTTCCGTGGGTGGGCACGGTAGCCCCCGTGGGAAGGCACGGGGGCCTCTAACACGATATATCGTTTAAAAGACGATCGATGTCGGATGTTCAAGAAGCCGCGGAGAGGGCGGCCGCTGCGAAAAGAGCAGCAGCAAATGCGGAGAAACAACTTACCGCAGCGGTAAGGGCTGCGCAAGAGGTTACAAACAAACAAGTTCAACGCTGCGATAGACAAGATCGCGACGATCGAGACTGCTGGGAGGGCAGCAGGTGGTCCAGCTGGGCAGACAGCTGGTGGAAGTGGAGGATACGCCGCCGGAGGAGGGTCCGGCGGTGGATACTACGGGGTCGAAGAGAGAACGGCCCACTGGAAGAAAAAACAACCCCCCCCCCCCTACAGTATGACGGAAACTTCGCCGGCTTCCGGCAACTCTTCGAAAACTAGCTACATGTCGAGCGAAGGGCTTGCCCACACTCTGCAGGAGTCTCGTATCCTTCCACATTTCTATGGGTGACGGGTTTCACACAAAAAATATTTTGGGAAAAATACAACGCCCGCCTCGAGCTATGTAAATGGTACTGCTCAGCGACGGTATCTTCTTGCCCTGTGTTGTTCGTGGATCTACCTGCTGCTGCTGTAGAGCGACCTCTCCCATACCGTAAGCAACCTACGCGACGGACATCTAGCTATGATTCATGTAGCTCCCGCTCCTTTTTGGTCTGCAAGGATGAGGTGTAGTCGAAAAAGTAGTCCTACAGCAGTAGTAGCAGTCTTGCCATCGTTCGTTGGTGGTCTGCTGTGTCTACATAAGTCTATGTAGAAGGTAGATTATATGTTGTTGCCGCTGTTGTAGTCGAGATCGGCACACACATCATCATCAGCAGTAGACTCTATGCTACACATGTAGGGTAAGACTTACAGCAGTGATTCAACGAGAGAGCAGGTATTGTGTACAAGTTGCTGGAAGTTCTTCTTCATCGGCAACCCGCCTCTTCTCGCTCACCTATTGAGTCCACAGAGCAGGTCAGTTTTCTCGCAAGCCCTCTCTTGGGGTTGGAGTTGTCATCATCGAGGGCGGAAGAAGAACTGACGGACGCCATGATCAACAGCGGGAGTGAGTATGGAGGTCACGGACGACGAGTTTTGTGTCCACAGCAGACTCAGCGGATGACACGCACACCCTGTGCTTCGTGGGTTCAGTGAGGGTGATTCCCCTCTGTTGCAGTGGATCAGCTAGCAAAGCGGGTGTGTGTCCTGTGGCGTATGTTTGTGTCGGGCGTTTCCCTCAACCCACCCGTTCGAGCTTTTCGCCCGGCGAAATGGTTTGGTTCGTTAGGAAATTTCCTCGCGCACACACGCGCAGAGTGCGCAGATTGGAAGATTATTTTTTACCGATATTTTTATGATGCGGACGGCGGGGACAAAATCAGTCCATCCTTGTACAATGCGCGCTATCAACACCTAAACATTAAAGTCGCCAAACATTGTACCTTCTGCCATCCACCCTCTCAGTTTCAACAACCTTGGTCGCAACAAATTCCCTCAAGTCGGTCTGGCGCGTTTTCTTCGCGCGGTATGCCTGCGTTCTTGGCCATCCTTGCTATCGACAGGTAAATGCAGCCTCTGTGTTGCCACACTCCTCCGCAGCCCGCTCCAGGAAGCCGAAGTGAGACGACAGTTCAACGTAGTAGGCGGGCGGGTACCCCTACTGTTGTGTAACCTCTCCAATGTGCTTGTGTGTGCGCCAACAACACAAATAAACGGCGCTACTGCGGGCTGTAGCGGTGCTGAAACCGGCGATAGTGCTGGCTTCCCTCAACAGCGCCGGTCTGGCGCTATTGAGGGCGCTGGCTGTCTGTGCCTTGCAATTTCACCGACACTTTGAGGGCCACCGACGTGTTATTCAACCGGCGATATTGAGGGACCACTTTGGATACGAGTTTCGATCTGGAAAATATGTGTATCAAGCAAGTATCAAGGGGGTATTCTGTTGGAGGTCCAAGTGCGAGGCCCCTCTCGAGACAGAGACCACGCTCATCACGTGTGTGTTTATTCTAGGTTACGTTCTTCCTCGTTCGTGTTCAGTTTTGTCTTTCCTCTCTGTTCTGTTTGTGGTTCATTCATGATGTGCTGGAAGGAGCACGGTATCTTAATCAAGAACATTTTTCTGTCATCCTCATCGGTCCTGGGTTAGCCATCTCTCTATGCAGTCCCCACATTCAACTCTAAGTACCGCGGGAAAGCGCGGTAGCCTCCGCGGGAAGGCGCGGAGGAAGAAACATACAAGAAGGCAGAGGTACAGTACACATACATGTAGGTTAAATCTGAGTCGTCCTACGATAGGGGATGCACCACGAGAAGATCGGCAACGCGACCGCGTAAGTAAGTATATAGTCAACGGAGGCGAAAGCTTTGCACAGAACGGAAGCAAAATGGCATGGCGGTGCTTGTCCTCAGAACAGAGCCGCCAAACATGGGAAATTCGAAAAGTTAGAAGGGTACCGAACGAACCACGTACAACCAAAAACTACCGTTCGTTGTTGGCTCCTGTTTCTGGCACCCCTATCGCACGATGATTCTTCTCTATCATCACCATAACCATACCCCCATGGAGAACGAACGTAGGTTCACCAACAAAGCGAGTTCTGTATTTATTTCAGAAACAATCACCCCCGGAGGTACATACGACAACATTTGGACAGCTTTTCGCCAATAAAATTGAGTGGGGGTACTAGACTAATACTGTGTGTGATACAATGTATGAGATTGGACCCCCTTCCTTTACATATAGAAGAATCAATCACCTTTCTGCTGTGTGGAACTCTCTCGTCCGACCACCGATGTAGGTTCGTGTTGCTTTCCTTTGTTTTCTCCCCTTGATTAGCTTTTCCGTTATGTTCCAACGCAACCCAATAAGTCAACGCACACAGATCTCAAACGCGCAAGATCAAACCCGACCCACGCACACACACTTGATGATGAACAGAAAGGAACACGTTTCGGCATAACGCCCGAATCTTGCATGGCGTCAAGTCAAAGTATCTGACAACGCCAAACAACCATGGTGAAGCACGATCTACCTCCAAATACCGTAACACTACGACACCGTAAGTTACGGTATGCTAATAAAAACAGTATACTCTGCAACCCGCGTAGCAGGTCGTAAGACTACGCATGGCGGAAACACTGCTAATTAGACTGCGTGTCCGGTGAAAGGGGTGTCCTAAGACCCTTTTTCTTGATACCCTCGCGGTTGCGGAGGTCCCCTTTACAAAGGATTCAGTCTCAGAACGTCGGTCAAGCACAGTTCCCTCTATTCACATTGGCATCGCGATGAGACCTCTGCTTTTGGTGGAAGATAACCCGGGTTCGAAACCGCCACCCGCCATGTGCTTTTCCAAGAAGAGTGGTGGGGGACCAAAAGAGTGGTGGGGGAGCAAAAACAGACTGTCGAACTCGTGGAACTGTGGTCGAATATAATTATCAACCGGTGTTTATTTGCTTGTCTTGGGGATTAGAGCTCACTTCCACGCAAGCGGTATTTGGGGGACACTGTTAAGATCCACGATGACTAGTGGCAAAATCGCGTGCTACTGCGAAACATTGGCCACGTATCACCCATCCGTTGAGCAGGTCAGTTGGGTTGGTCTCTTGACGTGCTATGCATACGCACTACCAGTTTTGTGTAATTACGGGTTGGCGGTTGTTTGCAAGAGAGAGGATCCTACCTCGCGCCTAGGGCACCCCGACGAACCCCCCCCTCCCCCTATCGGAACCTCCCGGTATGTGCCATGGGGGTTGGGTTTTCGTCGCTTGGCAACGACGTTGTAAAACAAGCCGATCACTTCATGAGCTCGGCGACCAGGTTACCGCCTTTGTTTTTACCTTTGTTTCTTTTTTGGCGGTAGCCATGGTGGTTAGATTATGTTGTGCGGGGTCGAGAACCCTCACTTCGCGCAAAGGGGATGATCGCACCACGTCGTATTAAATTTGCCAAGCACTCTCGAGGCAGTCACACAGTGCTTATAACTGTCTCCGGAAGTGAAAGCACCAGAAATAAAACAACTCCTGAGTAACTGCTGACATCCGTATGCAAGCAAGTAAGCACAAGATGCCGAACACCCTTAGCAGGATGCAGCGCACCCTTCATGCGACTCACCGCATACCTCACGGTGCTTCGCGCTTGGTGATGTGAGAGCCTGGTCCGGTGAGAACCCAGCGTGCTCCGTCCCGGCTTTGTAGGGATGCGAGGTCAGAGGTCTAACGACTACGGCATGCACAACTCTCCCCCCCACTCGAACCCCCTTTGATTTTTATATAAATTAGACTAACAGGCACCTCCCGAAATTCTCCAAAACAGCAATAGAAGGGTAACAAAAAAAGGGAAAAGGCACGCAGTTGTCTGATTTGTCAATAGACCTTGCGGAGCAATTTTTTCGGAGATGACCGCGGTAAATTAAAGAAAGCCATAAAATGCGAAATAAAGGCACTACAACACATTATTTGCACTGTACATGGAGGTCGAACACGGCTTTCCTCCCCATAAGTACTTCGAAGAAAACATCGTCCAGGCCAACCATTGGGAAACAAGGTACACTTGCTGCTTAGAATTCGCGCAACGACGGACACAACATTTGACAGATAAAAAACAGTGGATGAAGGCAAAAAATATACCATATATTTCACGACAATGACTGAAGACCCCACAACCCATCTATAGATCTGGCACGCACGCTGGTTGTACATTGACCAAGCAAGAAAACGAAATGATGTGTCTCCCTGTACGCGCTTCGAAGAGAATATCGTGGGCGCTTCATTTTCCCCGCCTTGATCTACACCAGACCATGGCAACCACAACTACATGCTACAAAAAGCCTTTGGTTTGATCTGACTCACAAGCACACAAACTTACTGCCGTTATGTCACCATGCGATTCCTTCCTCTCCCAGGATCCTCTCGCCAAAATTTTCAACACGAACACGAAGGGGCCTGCGTTTTCGAGCCAACGCGATGCGAAAGCTAGATCAAGAATCAAACGAGCATCGTCTGCTTACAGTTGCTTTTGCTACCTCTGCCTTCAACATGCTTTTAGACCGGCCACGTCAATCGAAACCTTGCTCCTGCGATCCACAGCTCGCTTCCGGGTACCAACGGCCTCTTCAGGCGGATACATTTTCTTCCTCTAAAACGAGTGTTTTCTAGCACCAAGCACGGTCAGGTATCAGGACGTGGGCCTGGCTGGTCAAGATAGGAAAGCCGGATAAACGATACGCTACACGCTACCACGTCCACAGATGACCGTCACAGGCTGCTCAAACTTCACAGCATATTTCATCTCTCTGTTCTGACCAGATTTCTGTCCGTCTCCCTTCCTCGCTCTCCCATCGGAAGTAAAAGCGGAGTGCCGGAGTTCGGGGCATCGCGTCGATCCTTCATACACCACCAATCGAACCCTCAGCAACAAAATCTTGAAGTGCATCCTTATCCTTGAATTCCACCGTACTTTCGGCAGCACATCGTCCGTCCTGCGTGGGTTGTGATGGACCTCGGACCGGAATGTGGGTGAACCTGTTGAAGGGGACCCAGCCCTTGCACTGATCTCAACATACTATGCACATGCCTTTCAGGATGCCCGCGAGCAGCATCCATACTCTGTTTCGCACCAATTTCCGACGCGGTGGACAGCATCCATGCCTTCCCCGTCCTCTTCAGTGTTTTTTCCGGGAGACCTATTACTCCTGGAATAGATACCGCCAGACGCTGTCAAGGACGCTTTCCACAACTACCTCCAGGAAGCGGTTGTCCTCCGAACTAAGGTCGTGCACCACGATGTCACGCCTCTTGGCCACCCTGAGCCCTTGCCGGGAAGAAGGGTGAGTCCTTGATTCAGCAAACATATTCCCCGCCCTGTTCTGCAGCACCCGGATCATCCTGTCGGTGACTTCCGTGATTCTGATGAAGTAAAAATCGGCACCTATTTCGTACTGAAGGTGTATTGAAAGATTGTGCGATGGTAAGGAGGGGGGAAGGGGTTGGTGGCAATTGGTACGGGGTTGGTCAAGGGCGAGAGTGGGCCAAGACGTTGACATGGTGGGGTGCAATATTTTGTTATACAAGTACTCCGGCCGACGGCCCCCGATGTGTACAGTATTTAGGTAAGTATTCTGTGTTGTGCACAGCATGCCAAGGGATGGTGGCAATAGTCGTTCGTTCATATCCGCGTGCCCGACAAAAACTATATTGTGTCGTAAGGCGCACGCCATGGGATGGTGGCCGGAGCCGTGCATCGTTTACATTTGGGCGGGGGGGATGGAGGGATGAGTAGAGTCAGTGGTTCAGGCGGTGGAGGGGGAGGTGTGGGGGTAAAACAGCGGTGAGAGTTGTGGTTCATGAGTCCCCCGTTGCAGCTTCGGTAAATGGGGCATAGACTATGTACGCCATTTAGTTTCTGTGAAGGGAAGAGGTACAATATTGATTCATGTCTGTATTTAGCTGAAGCTGCTGATGAGGACCTTTAGTATATGGAGACCGATTCGCCTATCGGGACACCGCCTGATGGAGTCTCTCCGACAGGTGTCAAGCAAGGCTGACGCACACGTTGGGGTCTTCGTGAGCCGAAGAACCGTGCACAATACTTGACAGCCGGCGGTTGGTATCCGTGTACATTTTTTTGTGGCACGGTGCAAAGTAACCTCGATATTCTTCCTTTCTAAGAGCTTATCGTGGCCGTCGCAGTAATTTTCTGGGCGAGGCCAGGCAGGGTCGCTCTTCTGGTGAGAACGGGGCTTCGGGTTGCTGGGGGGCGAGGCCGCAGCCGCGGATGATTGAGGTTTCGCTGGAGAGGACCTTGGCAGGCGTTCATTTTGGAAAGAATGGCTACTATTGACAACGTAAGGTCTGAGAAGGCGGGTGGTAGGTGGGTGTGGAGATTGTTTGTGATAGACCTATCGGCGATTCGGTGCACATTTGGCTCACAAATCTTGAACACCTTAACAAAATCGGTGTGCACATTCCGTGCAAACCAATCTTCACCCCAACGGACCGCATTCAGCAATCCACCACCAACGAACGAATGTCGTTTTCAACCAACCAAGACGCACTGCTAGTGTAGTTGTTGTCGAATATGCACATGGCTACACAAAATATGAAATATTTGTCAAGACCAACGAACATTCAAAATCACAGATATTTGTTGCCTCAACTTTCCTCGGAGACCACCCAAGTTCAAGTGAATAGTTCATTGTTCGTTCGTGGATAGACCACCAAAGTTCCAGTAAATGGTTGAATGTTCCCGTGGATACTGCGTTGTCGCCGTGAGGAGATGCAAAGTGTTTACGTGTACACATATAACATGCATGTACTGCTGTACATTTACAAACATCGTGGTGCGAATGGTGCGAAAAAGAAGTCTCCGTCAACAAAATGCTGTGCGGGTCAGTAGATATGAGACGGCAGGCGTTTCGCCAAGAAGGTAGAACCTACCCGCCGAGAACAGAATGAGTGATGTAGCGTGACGTTCTGCGCCGGGAGCTCGTCCAATGAGACGCGCGTTTCTTGAAGAACGTGAGCGTTCAACGCAGATTCTCCGGGATGCAGGCGGGAAGTGCCCGATTAGGGCGGACTCCGCGGTGGTGTAACACTCGAGGCGTGCGACCGCCGAGCCCGCGACAGGGAGGCCGTCGTGGAAAGACTTTCCTGGCCGACATCGCGAAGAGCTGAAGTCGATCGAAGTTGTTGGGCGGGCCAAGTATAGGGCCGAAGTTGACACGTTGAATTGAGGGGGGGGTCTAGTCTCCCCGCTTCGCTCACAGCGCTCGGGACTGCTGTCAGGCAGAGCACTCTAACTTTAGCATCACTTTAAAGATTCAAATAACCATAACTCTATATTGGTCTATCGCGCTCTGCCCGACCTGCAGTTGCTGGCATATGGCTGGAAGCGAAATCAGAGTGCGCAGAACAAGAAGCCTTTGGACAAATCAACGCTGCATGGCTGCATGCATGCACCGGTGATGCTGCGGGACCTGCGACTAAGTGTGCACACGTTCGTACGAACGAGGCGGGGCTGACAAATAGTGGCGCTCAAAGGGAAAACTAGCACCAAAACCCGGCGGCTGCTTATGAGCAGATGCCCTGTATGCTGCTGTGGGGTCTCCCACGTACGTCGCTGGGGAATTCTGCAGCACTGTGAAGAAGACTAGTTGGGCACCGCCCCACACGCACACACCTGCAGTTTGTAGAGCAATTTGGACGGATCGTTTCCCTTCGGACAGCCGTTCGGGTACCTGTCCCCGACCCCGGCGTGGTAGATGGAACCGTGGCAGGGGGCGTCGGCGATGAGGATACAAAGGCGGATTGTGCCCCTCCAGTCCAGCTCCGTCGCAAGCTTCAGCCCTCCGGCGACGTCCTCTGGGAAGTCATCGCCTGAAGTTGATAGAAATGAGGGAACGGGTTAGAGCCGGGGAAAGTACTACTATTTAAGAGAAATGCTGAAAAGCAAGGAGCGGGGCGGGGCGGGGTGCGTCACGGGCGAAGAATGGGAGGCGCAAGGAGACGGGAGGGGAGCACGGCAACGGCGGGGGTGAGGGCGATTCTGGTGATGCCATGCCATGAAGACCTCACCGGGGTTGGACTGTGACAGTACGAAAACAGGAGGGCTCACTGTCGTATTCCTGATCTTTCGAAACGGGAACCGATGACTGCCGCCATGGACAAGCTAGATATGAAGGAGGAAAACGACGTGAACAGCCTACGTGTACCACATGTATTACAGCACGATGTGCAGTGGTGGGAATGCATGCATGCACCTCCGTAGGCCTCAATTTTGTTGAGCTTGGCGAGAAGCTCGGGGAGATCTTTTTCTTTGTGGAAGTCGAACAACTCGTACCGTACCCTGTCTCCGAAGTCACGATACCTGCGGCGAGGAGTGGGGAGTTTTCGGCAGATCGCCTGGGGTGTGAGGAACAATTTGATACTGCCGAAGTGTGGTTCGGAAAGCTGACAAGGCTTGATCGGTTTTCTCGCGTTCACTAACCCATGTTTCGCGATGATGTTCTACGTATGTCCCGTAGACGTCGGATCAATCGCGTCAACACCACTTGGTGCAGAGGTAGGTGAGAACGATACCAGGGCTAAGGCCATGAGACAGAGATGAAAAGAAGGGGGGGGGATCGATCGAAAAACTCTCGGCATAGGCAAATACAACGTCGCGATGGCACAAAAGCACACTCGAGACAATCGGGGCGCTAATAATCGGCCAGCGTGGGTACGGTGCTGGATGATCGCAACCACGTTTGTCTTGACACCGTACCCAACGAAGGCAACCCGCAGGTTGATGTTGGCGACGTCTTTCCTCGCTTGGTTGATGATGTCCAGCAACTTGGTCTTGGCCTGGTCGATCCAATATTGCATCTGAGAAGAAGGACCATCATGGAAAATAACGTGTAACATGAAGTTAAGCAGCAAGACTCGGCATTGACGTGTTTCGAGTTCGACGTGCGGTGGTGTGCTTCGTGTTTGTCGTTTTTGTTGTAGCGACCTTGTCAAAATCAGATTCGAATTTTGAATAACTTACGTACGAACGGATCACTATTTACCTCGCTTATCCTCTATTAGTGGAACACCAGAGCTGTATTCCCGAGGGGGGGGGGCACCCGTAAAAGATCCAAGTCTACCGGTACTCCTCAACGGTGAGCACGACAACCGTTTTGATGGCTCGGCGACTTCTCCCTTCTATCTATCGCCCCGTCGACTCGTGAAAGCTGAAAGCAGTGCACGTCGAAATACGGCAGCTCTCTCACCGATCCTGTGCAGTCCATCACGAAGCATAAATCTATATGGGTCTTCCTAGAAGGGTTGTCTTGAAGCGCTTCCATTTTCGTTTTGGCCGTCTTGACCTTGTCCAGACCTTGGTCGATTGCCGAGGTCAAGCCCTCGGGCTCCGTGTCCGCGTCAGGATGCAAGCCCAAGGCTACCAGCAGGTCGGGGGAGAAGAGGCGGCCGTAGTTGCCGTCAGAAGCCAGACCGCGGAGCCCCCAGAGCGATGCCCTGGCAACGCTGAGGTCGATTATGTCTCCCGTCCCTATCATGGCTTGCGTGTAGTGAGCGATCGCCTCCGCGTGGTTGCCGCTTGCTACGCAGTGGGCGGCGCGCTCTTCCAACAGCCTCTGGCGGAGGATCTGCACTGGTGTTTCCAGTGACGTCGCCATCGCGGCCCCGGGCCCCCCATCGGGGTGGTTGTTCTCGTAGGGCACGATCACCAGCTCGGCCGCATCCAGTGCTTCCCATGCCTCCCGAGATCTACCTTGCTGCCTTCGTTCCAGGGCGGCCAATTGGAGGAGGTATCTAAATCGCTGCAGGTCGTTCTTCGTGTTGCCTTTGTTGCGGTTTCCGCCAATGTTCCCCCCGGCGGAGGTTAGCTGGATGCATTGCTGTATCAGGTTTCTGGCCTCGTTGATGATTTCAAGGTCTGGCTGCCCCCCCGTGGACACGGCGCTATTGCCCTTAGCTTCGGTGCACAGGGCGAGGTTAAACTTGCGGACAGCAAGCTGCCGGCAAAGAGCGGCGTGTGACATATTCTCGTCGTCGTCGTTTGCATCGACATCCGCCCGTGCGGCTCTTGCAGCCTCAACGTCTTCCTCAAACTTGGCCTCGTCGACACCGTCATGACCACCGTGGTGGGCGCCCCGGTGCAGCGGTGAAGCGCCATTCGGTCGGTGAAGGGTGGCTGCGCAAAGCATCTCGGCGTCTTCGATGGCGACCTTGTAGTTGATTTCGGCGTCGGCGAAACACTCCTTCGCCTTTTCCATCAGGGTCTTGGTTTGGGCCGGGTTTTCCTCGTCCTTTGCGTGCGCCACGAGCTCTTCGGCCTCCATCGCGTAAGCATTGCCGAGGTTGTTGCGCACGATGCTGACTCCACTGTCGTTGCATCGTATTGTGAAGAGGGTCAGGGCCTCCCTGTAGATGACCTTCGCCGCGGCAATGTTTCCCGTGGCCAGGGTCGTGGTGGCGAACTTTACAACCGTGTTCATGGCCGGGGCGGCTTCCATGAGCTCCTCAACCTCGGGGCAGGATATGCGGTTGACCATATGAGGCCCTGCAACCTGTGTCACGCATGCATACGCACATACCCGAAAAAGAGGTTTGCGAGAATTGGCATCGCTATCAAGAGACGTGGGCATGCCGCTTGTGCAGCAGCGCCTGTAGAGGTTGAGCTTGCGAGAATGATGTGGGCACATTTCTGAGGTAGCTTTTCCATCACTGGGCTCCGAACCAACTCCCCAGCAAGTTTTGTTGAAAATCATAGCACATCGGCGGACACTTATGGTAGGGGAGTGTACGTATACACAGCGTGTTTGGCGGAGATGTCACAGCAGGGCCTCTCGGCCGGCCGCCTCTTGACAACATCATGTGCCGTCTCGAAGTCGAGTCGCAGCGAATTGGATGTCACGCATCCTGCTTGTTGGTGCGTGCGCTCGAGAGCAGGACTTGCTGACAAATTTTCGAGATGCATGTGGCATGCGCGCAACAATACGTGTATGACTCCGCATCGGAGCCCTTTACCACACATGGCGATGACCGCAGGATACGAACTCAGGGAGCGCTCTAGAGAGGAGGTGTTGGAAAATCCGGACAGAGCGCGTCAGGCTTTTCGCCGACCAGCTACAAAGAGGTGGTGCAGCAAGCGAGAGGAATCATACCTGCCGCGAAAAATCCATCCTGTTGAGTGCGTGCACGACGTAGATGAGCTGGTTGATCGGACCCACGATCCCGCCAGCCACGAATCGAGCAGTGATACCCGTGATGCAGGCGATTACGGTCAGCACCAGGGCCATGATGAGGCTCGCGAGGATAACCACCCGGGAAATCTGTGATTTCGTCCTGGAGAAGGCCTAGATCACGTGCAAGCCGGAATGCCATGCCAAATGCAATGCCAAAGGGAACGAGGCGGGAAGGAAGGGAACGGAAAAGAGAAATATGGGTTCCACAGTTACAGCCACTGCTAGCAATACTGTTCTGAAACAAGACAAGCTCGCTCCTCCATCGCGTAGTTCGCCCTCGCGGGCTCCAGAGATACTGCATCTCGATCAAGGCTGGTCCCAGCAAATATCCCGAAATTGAACAATTTGCAGACGTATCCGAAACCGACCCTACCGGCTTCCGCAGCCCACCCTCCTCCTCCGCTCTCTCACACAACTATTCCCTCCCTGAGCCACCGTACCTCCAACAGAACCGACTCGCTGACCGTCACCACGGCGATGAAGCCACCGTCGCCGCAGTTGTCGCTGGCAGTAGACGCGCCGGCGCCGCTCACGGTCTCGTGCTTCCAGGCCAGGATCCACGTGCTCCCGTCCCTCGAGTACTCAGCGGAGCCGGAGCAGGCGGTGGAGATCTCGGTGACAAGATCAAGAAACTGTGATTCCTCCTCGCCGTTTTCGTCGGCGCCGTCTCCGAACTCCAAGTCCAGGATGTAGTTCACGCCGCCGTAGTTCAGCAGATCCCGGTGAACGGCCACCTGCCCGTCCCCGCCCGGGGCCAGCAGGTAAGCATAACCGTCGTCGTTGATGACCTTGAGATTCTTGATGGAGCTCTCCATGTTTGTCGTGTTGATGTCCAGCCCAACCACGCCGGCCACGGTGCCGGCCGAGTTGAAGACCGGTGCCGCTGCCGTCAGGGTCAGCTCCTCCGAGTCGGCGTCCTCGTAAGGGTTGGTGAAGAACACCCCGGTGTTGCCGTTCTCGATGGCGCCTTGGTACCACAGTCTGCATCGCGGCTCGTACGAGTCCCCGGTGTAGGTGGTTTCATCCCAACTGTCGCATACCTGGTTGGCGTTGAAGAATTGGTTTTATTTTTTCACCCCGTTCGTGCCAACGTGCGAGGAAAGGAGGAGCGCGTGTAAGAATTATCGTGAACGATCATGTTGCAGCCCTGGCGTCGTCGAAGCCCAGGGCATTCGTGTGAATACCCGTTAGTGTTTCGAGATGAGCCCTCAACACAAATTCGATACGAAGGGATTCCACCGGTAGGTGTGGTACTGAATATTTCGTTGTTCCCTGCGTGCTTACCCCATCCACGCCCCATTCCAGGTGACCAGTCATATCGAACCCGGCGTAAGCCTGGAAGTTGATATCGGAGATCGTGCCAGCGGCTGGGAATGGATCGTCCAAGGCTGCGAGGTACACGAGGGGGTGCTGCCGTTGCATTCCCCGAAAGGGAACGTCCATGAGCGACGAGCGGTTGAGCAGGCTTTCCAGGGACCCGCCGGCCTCGGGCACCTCACCCGTAGGCAGGTCCGGGATGAACCTGGACGAGCGATTGGCGGCGACATTCATGTCTACTGACATGCACACAATTGAACACCCACACATCCTTTTGCAATCGCGTCGAAGTCATTTCCACGATAACTGATTACTTCCGGTGTTCGATACGCACGCTAGTTGGACAAGTCGAGAGTAGAGAATGGTGGTGGTGGAGGGGGGTCGCCCTGTAAAGTTGTCAGAGTTTACAGGCACAAAAAAAGCAGCTGTACGCACGATGATGTTCCAGGTGCATTGCGTTCTGCCAAGCACGCTTGTTATTTGACACCGAGTAGCCAACATCATGCGAAACTGCGGCGTGTTGGGGCTATATCACGCCAGGACAACACCCCTGCCAACCACAGTTATTCGAGAGGAGCTTACTGCTGCACGCCTTGGACGAAACTCTGCTTCTCTGGAAAACAAGTGTACCATAAGTCTTTTGGTTGAGGGTATGCAGATATGACAGACAAATACAGCCACTCGCCAAACACTATGGTCGAGGGTAGTGCTTGATTGTAGAAGTCCCGAATAGCTGGTCAAGTACGAGTCGACCGTCATCGTCTCCGGAACGGCCAAAACGGCCTGCTCCGCAAACGCTTGCAGTTGCAAAATGCTTTCCTCGACCCTTCCGAATTGCTCAGAAACGAACTCGGCTTTCGCCGCTGCAAGCTTGAGTAGATTTGCCTGATACCATAAGGGAAGAGAGAAGAGATAGACAGGGAAAGAGAGAGAGAGAGAGAGACGCAGGAAAATCAGCATATGTCAGGGCGACAAAGAAAACCCTCTCTCGTTCTCGAGACATTCTTCTGTTCTTATACTTGTATAGCAGAAGTACTTACGACGCATACATGTGGATTTTATTTTAGTCTTGGCGTTGCCGAAATTGAACTATTCTTGTCTGTTTCTACCCTACATGTATCATCCAATACGGCTTTTTGGCGGATGAAAATAGGCACATGCTGAGATCATTGCCCGTACAGCACAGCGCTGTTGAATTACAGCGCATTACTGCTGTAGGATGTGTGTATTTAGTAAGATGCTGTAGTTTGCTGTATGCAATGATACATAGATGCGGTGTGATCAAGTGACCGTGGTAGAACGTAACATGTAGCGAGGAGATCACGAGGTGTTGCGATCCCCACCAGGCTCACTCCCAAGTATCCCTCTTCTACATACCGATAGTTTCAACTGAGCTATCATAGACGACTCCGGTGCCACCGGTAGGAAAATAATCCAATAATGATATCTCACGACTGCAAACAGGCTAACCGCCAGTAGACGATCGTTGGGTACGGGCACCTCGACACTGCACATTTCTACAAGCGTATGACTCCGTCGCGCTTATTGGCGAGATGACGGTGGGGCGCATGTCCGTAAAGACGCAAAACACTTGACTTTTCCAACTTTCTTCCGTATTCCCTGGTTTGTGTATCATCCCTGTTCGACCTCATACTGCAGACGTACGATCTCAAACGTTATCCACCCACTACCAGCACACATGGCTCCAAGTTGGGGGATGGGATGCCACCTCCTGTTGCGGGTTGCATGCCATCCCCTGCTGACAATTGAACATCAACAATCAACCAATCAACACTAACTACTGCGCCGTAAGCCGCATCATTGCTTCTCGCGAAACGATCATAGGTCCACCGCAAACCGCCCGCTACTCGTCTACTCGTCTATCGTGAAACGATAACAGTTGCACCGCGTCACACGACAGCTGTCGCCTTTCTCTTCTTAACGATAACAGTTGCATCGCTTCACGCGACTGCTGTCGCCTTTCTCCTCCTACTGTATGTAACTTGTAATATTGTACGAAGTACCTTTCGGCATGCTTCCCACACAAAGACGATTCTTCAAGAAGAGTTCAAATCGACACACGCAATGGATGAGTTACAGCGTAGATGACGCGCAGGAGGGGGGGCGGGAGGAACCGCTCGGCGAAACGTGACGGCTTCCCACGCTTACCATAGGACGATACCGCCCACAGGTTTACTTTCAAACCGGTCCACCTACACGGCAAGACGGTAGTGTGATCCCAGTGGCCATCCCGCCACAGGGGCGGGCAGCCGCCGTACCCTAGTCCCCAACATTGCAATCATGTTTTAGAATCGATCGCTGACCAGCAGAGAGCACGTTAACCAAGGACACCATACATCACGGTAGAAAACACCTCGTACCTGCTCAAGCTCAATCATCTCCCCCCTTGTTTCGGCCCCCCAATCATCCACAGTCGTGAGGGTAAAGTAAACCTGAATGATGAGGATGAGCACGATACCCGCCAAGTCTGGAGAGAAAAGGGGAAAGAGCGACGGGGACAGCGCCGGGGGGGAGAGGTTGTTGATGGAAAATACCGTGACATGTTTCCACGTTAAGTTGTGGATCGCAGGGAAAAAAAATAGGTGTGTAGGTTTGACACGGAGGGTGTCAAAACTCGCTAACACTACCCGTGTCCATCTGCTTGCCCCCTTTGCCCTTCCTGACCAGACAACAGTAGCGTGGCACCAAGGGCAACGCGCGCGGAACCTGTGTAGGTGAAGGATGGTTCTAATTGTTTGACAACTTCTCCTAGACTAGGCAAATGAAGTATTGCGTCCCGTGTGCGCGGATAAAGCACATGGATAAACGACGACCCGTAGGACGAACGCCCCATGGCCCATCCTACAACCGTTACCAAGCCTACCGCAGAGGTAGTATTCACCTACAGCGCGGTCTCGCCATCAGTCCATGGTAGGCACGACCATTTAAGTTTCTATTCACTCTACATTCCAAAGTACCATCACTGGCAGTGTCCACTCACAGCTGTACGATCTCGCCACCAGTCTCTGTAACTATGTAGGATCGGTACTGCTCAGGGTGGGTGGGCGGTGACTTCCACAAAAACCCTCCTTGTCTCCTGTTTTCCGTGGCGACGCTTGCTTTGTTTGGAGAGTTAAAGACAAAATCTTGCTTGTCATAATACAGCCTCGTTCCTTTAGGAGCGTTCTGCGACATTTTTCACCTTTCTCGACTCTTCCATGCAGAATACATCAGCATTTCCGAGCTAGTTCTTCTTTCGTTCTAGTGTGGGATTTACCAATGGCATCACCTTCCCCGGGTCGATGTCTGTCATCCTCCCATACTCCTTTAACCCACACTATCTCGGGTAGAAGTATTTTCTCTCTCATGTCTCACTGCTGTTGTCTGTTCAAAAATTTCAAATAATCATTCAGAGCATCGGTGATCGACCGAAAGCCCCCACATGTCGGCTTTGCTCACTCAACGAAAACTCGTTGAGTTCTCTATACTGTGCCTTTGTTACCCCTTGAACCATACCCTCGCTCCAGGAACCTGGCGCCACTACCTCCATCAATGGCATGTGTCTCCTGCTAATATTAATAATTAATGCCCGTGAAATCGCTCCTCCTCCCGGCCTAAACGAATGCAAAGATAATCTTGCCTCTCCTCTGCTTGTTGAGCGTACATCTTCAACGCAGCTGACATGCGCTGTGTCGTGACTGTCTTCGAATCCCATGCGGTCTTTTGCCCCTTGACCTCCTGGAATAATTATCCCTTCGTCATGTGGCAGCACTCGCAAGTTGCTATCTCAACCAACCGTTCCTCTGCCCGTACTGGGCATATGGATACTTCCACCTCGTCGTAAAGTACAGTCAAAAATATGGTCTTGCTCCATCTCTCTGCGTCTTCCCCCATTGAAAGTTGAACGTAAGCCCACTTTGGTTCGGCAAACGCAAGATGCGCTGCACCAAGGTGTTCGTCAGCTCCTTGACCCGTTTCTTCGTACTGAAAGCCACCGCGCGAAAGGCAATATCCATAGCCAAAGTAACTCGTTCATGCGGAGACGACGTATTTCTCAGCGTAGCTTGCATCGGTGCAAGTATCGTGACCAAGCGACTGCTCAACAATGGAGGTGCTTGCATAACCAAAACTCCTGCCCGATTCTTGTGCTCTTCCGTCTTTAAACGCATTACCATATATGACACAAGATAACACACCCCCTGGCCCGATTTTCAAAGATCGATTACTCGACGACGAAGAGGATACATAAACGAAATGATACATTTTCCAAAAGCTCTCAACGAGACGGTTCCAACGCCGCCCTTTTCGGCGTTGTGAGTCTTCCTGCTGTTGAGAAATCGATCTTTGAAAACCGGTCAAGGGGGTGTGTTATCTTGTGTCATATACGGTATACTGCTGTGGTACTAGATCGCTTCGAACTGGGTTCTTTCCCCGCTTTGAGTACATGGTTCCAGTCTACTGTAACCCCTAGTTCCTTCTCGAAGAACGCTGCCAATCTCGATACAATACATGGTTCGCCCGTAAATTCATGAGCGTACCTATCTGCGATTGCATTCCCCGTTTGTTGTGGAACATCGCACGCACCAAATCAGGTGTCCCCATCGCTTCACAGTGATGAGCATGAACCACTGTTTGTCTTCTCGTTCCACACGTGTCCAACCAACATCGATATTGGACTACATCCTATGGGCGTGTCTGCTCAACAGCAACCACCCTTGCCGTTCTTCGGAACTCCAGAAAATTTTCAAATTGTGTATTACAAGGTTTTGGGCGCTGCGCGCCCCCGCTTTATTTGAAGCGATTCCAAGGCAATGTTTTCTCTGAAAGTGGGTGTAGGATGTTGTTAAAATGAAGGTAGGCGCGATGGCAGTTAAAGTTTCCGTGAAGGTGGAGTTCCCATGATGGAGGTTCGTGTGTGATTTAAGGAGATGTAAAGGTCCATTATTTGTTTCCCATCGCCGTGCCCAGTACCTCTCTATTATCTGATACACATCCAGAACTCAGACCCCAATTTATGGGAACAAAATCTTGTAGATAAATCTTGATCTTGGCCAAGATCTGCCAGTTTCACGATTTATGGGAGCAAAATCTTCCGATATATCTTGGCCAAGATTTCTCGAGGCCCGAAACCTGCCCTTTCGAACAAATCTTGACCAAGATCTGTCGAAACGAGCCTTCCGACAAATCTTGAGGCGGCGAAACAAATCTTGCCTGGGTGCGGCGCGATCACCGAAGGTCAGTCAACC